TCTTAAATCTTACAACAAATCGATACACCAAATGGAAAAACAAGTACAAAACTCTAGAAAATAATCAATTACTTACTAATATTCAGCTTGATATTAGATAGAATAAATAGAATAAGTGGAAAACTCAAGCACGAAATTCTGAACAATTAATTTTGAATTTAAATTAACAAATTTTTGCATTTCAGAATAATTTACCTATAAATATACAAGCGAATATAGCATTACAATCACTATCACTACCAAATTTTTTAGGTGAGTATAACAAGGATATTGATATTTTTATTAGTCAATTATCATCATATTTAGCTAGCACTGGTATAGACCCAGTTGCTAATCGAGATCAAGTATTTAGTATTCTTAGAGGGTATCTATATGGGTGAGCATTAGAATAGTTTGATTGAAAAATTCTTGGTAAGTGATAGGAACTTCACAATATTTTTGCAAATCATGACCAAGATAGTATAGATGCTCTTTGGGATGCACTATGGCTTAGATGAATACTAGTAATAGCTTTAGAATTCCTTCGATTGCTAATGACTATACAAATATCACTAGTAATAATGCAGTAACAGTAGATGTTTCTATGATTTCAGCTAAAGCTTTTATTGAAGATTAGCACTTGGCTAAAGGATGACAATCAGATAGATCTGTTAATACAATTAATGCAGGTAATGCTAATCCTATAGTATTTGGCGATATTCGAATTGGTCAAGTATTATATTGGCTTAGAAATAAATATCCTACAGTAATAAATAAGAAGTGCAATTTAGTATATAGATTATTAGCTCAAGAAAGTGAACCTATAGGAGAATTTTACTCAAAACTCTTAAAATATAGAAAAATACTTAATCTTGATGAGCAACAGATTAAGGGTCAATTTTTATAAAGTTTGTCTTCAGACTTGGAGAATGATACAGAATGCATTGGTATTAAGCAACCATTAGCTGATCTTTTTGAAATTTTAGAGCAAATTGAAATACGAAGAGCAGAGAAAAAATTAGAATTAGTTAGTAAAATACCTCAGTCTAGTTATAAATCATCATCTAAATTAATAATATCTACATAATCTTAATCTATTTCTTTACAATCAGTTTCTTAGCAAATACAGCTATCACAACTATTGCAGACACCTTAACTTTATTATAGACCACAACCTTCTGGTATATATCAAAAAATGCAAGATATATTAATGGATAGATTTGTACAATGGATTACTAGGGAGGTTTCAGAATTTGTTTCTATTCCCAAGCTAATTTGTCTTCAAAACCAATAATAAAGAAAGTTGAAATTGACTCTGATAAAGAATTGGCCAATCTCATGAAGAAGCAGTTGAAGTTGCAAATAGCTAAAGCTGTTAAAAAAGCTATGAAGGCACAATACTATTGCTTAAACTGTAATAGAACTAGGCATAATTCTCATAAGTATCCTCAGAAAAAGAAGAGCAGATCCAAAAATAAAAAAAGTAATATCTATAAGGTTACTGTAGATTTGAGCTTTGAATTAGATTCAGATATTAACTCTTCTGATAATAATTTCAATTTTAATTCAGAAACTGATTTGAGAGAATCCTCAGCTGAATCTGATTATAGTATCAATATATATGTATCTAAATCAAAAAAAAGTAAAGCATAAGAGCAACTTTACAAAATCACTATCTAAGAAGAAATCAAAGCAACCCAAAATCAGAAAAGAGGAAGCAAAGCTTCGAGTTTTTAACTCATCCAAGCCCTGCAAGAGAGACCAAAAAGAGATTCTCAATTCTGGTAAGTCATTAAATAAATCTATTATTATTGATAAATCTTTTTAGAGAGTTATACTAGATATACTTGATGGCATTGTACCTGTAGATTGAATAGAAAAACTCAAAGCTAAGATTAACACTAATATGCTAGCTCATACTGAGAGTTTACCTACTTCGGCTCTATCTATTCAAAAATCTGATTTTAATGAAACTATTTCTACTAAAAATTATAAAGAACCAGCTCCAGAAATACTTAATTCAGATAGTGAAGAAGAGTTGTTAGACAATCCTATGAAAATTGATTTTATTCAGAAAAAAGATATAGCCACAGATATTGTTACACAAAGTATAAAATCAAAAGATTAGTAATTTTGGCAGCTACAGTTGATCCTGGTACAAATTTTCTAATCATGACTGAAGATATAGCCAAACAATTAAAATTAGTAATTGATACAAAGGTAAAATATGATTTTAGCTGAATTGCTACTGCCTCTACTGAATTTATTGAGATCGTTCGTAATATGCTAGTAACTTTCACTCCAGGTTGTATTATATATTTTGATTTTGCTATTGTTAAATATTATAAGCCAATGCTGATTTTATCTAATACTCTTCTAGATAAATACGATTATAATTTGCTTGCATCGAAGCATGAATTAAAACTCATATATAATGGTAAAGAGTATTTTATTCTGATAAACATGCATAAAGTCAAGAATAAACTTGAAGTAAATTGTGCTACTATATTTCAGAATGATAGGAATAAGGTCCCATTGCTTTGCAAGACCGAAAAAACAACCCTAAAGGGTTATATATCTTTGGTATCTGATCAAATTTCACAGAAGATTGATAGTAATAAGAGTAATAATGAACTATTGGAGAAATGGCATGCTTCTGCAGGTTTTAGCCCAGATACTGATAACTTGACTTTAGCAAAACAAGTACCAAAGGTGCTAAAAAAAAATACATGAACTATGAGAAGTTAGAAAAATCGCTATATACTACTCTTGAGTCTAAGGCTAAAATAAATGATCTTTGTGAAAAGTTGCAAATACGTTATGAAAAGCTACTTGAATATATCTCCTCTAGAAACAATAGCATAAATAAAGAAAAGTTAGATCTAAGTAGTAGCTAATAAGTGAGTTATATTTGCTTTATTTTTCTTATCTCTTCTGGTTTCTTTTTTATATAATACATCCAGACTATACATACCAACGAAATTATTTTGGGTTTTGGGATACGAAATTAAAATTTGAAGACAAAATTGTTTTTGATCTATTTTACTTAAAAGACGAAATTTTTTGATACTTTTTTGAAGAGATGAAATTATAAAGAACATAACTAGCTAAATTAGATTTGCTCTTGCATATAAAAAATTCTAAATTGCTCTAATGGAGACGAAATAGGGTTTTTTTGAAAACCTATTTTGGTGGCATGTATAATTCAGACTCTCACTACTTATTTTTTTTGTTTTATTAAATGTAAATGCTATCATATTAGAGTTATTAGTAGATATTGTGTCAGATATATAAACTGATTTTGACTGTGATTTGGAACTTCTCTTTTTTATTTCTATATTAAGAGAAGTAGATTCTGGATATAAAGTTTTTCTTCTGAATTTTCAGATGAAGTTGATGGAACTAGCATAGATATTGTTGATATTTTAGTGAAAATAGTACTTTGTATTATTTGTTGCTAGCATTCACAATTTTCTCATATATCATCGATCTGATTTTCATTAATATGGTAATCTCTCATAATTCTATACTAAGGTACCTTATCTTTAAGTGATCTAATTATTTCTATCTGCTCAGAAGTTAGATATATAGATTTTTGGCAATAATATAATTTTATAAATAGTATATTCATAGTTTAATTTTTTATCAAATATTTAGAATATTATTTAATATTTTAGAATAATAAAAACTGATATCTATTATTATAAAACAATAAAAAATAATTTTTATTATTATAGATGAATGGGAAATATTAGCATAAGCAAGCCTTTGATTAATAAAACTAATACAAAGTATTAGAAATTAGAATATATATAAAATAATTACTATATAACCTAATTCAACAATATCTAATATATTTTTTTAATAAATTAAGATATCTAATATTAAACATCATTAGATAATAATAAAAATTATTAATGAAATTAGTTTTATTAATATCTGTGTATTATCTATTATTTAGCAAAGCAAATACAAGATGCTAATATGGCTAATGTATATACATTACAAAATATTAAAAGCCATCAACTTAATAGTATATGCAAAGAAGAGCTAGAAAAAAAACTACACGATGCTATCATATCCAAAGCTGAAATTAATAAGCTTAGTGAGAAATTGCAGGAAAAATACATAAAGCAAATAAAGGTATTTGATTGAGAAAAAAAAGAGTTAAATCGGGATTTGTTTTGAAATAATACTGAGATTCAAAAGTTACGCACTCATACTTTGCAGGTTATTAATAAGTATAAGCAACTACAAAATGAAAATACTAATCTTATTTCTCATAATGCACAAAAGGATATTTTTATTGCTGAATTCAAGACTGAGAATATTACAAAATTCAAGAAAATTAGATCGCTAGAGTCTATGATCAAAATATTGGAAAGTAAGT